CTTTAANCTGAGCTGCGATTTTTTGCGGCAACGACGACCAACAACCAATCACATGAATCTCCGCCGAACATACAAAGCCATAGCAATGTTAAAACGAAAGTAAAACTAGATATTATAACTCCCCAACAGGCGAAAAACGGTTCACCATTCTCATGACCCACATTCTCCTGTCCACCTCCCTCCATGCCTGGTTCCTCCGGTTTGTATCCCTGCGCGTAAATAGTTCTGGTTCGTATAAGGAACCGGAAGTTGATTGCATCGTAAATATTCTCCGTTGGATATGAGGAAATGAAACTGGCTCTCCCAGCTTGCACGCGGTTTGAATTGGCTAGCGCTGCACTGCGGTAATTTGATGCATAAACGGGATTTGATTGGCTGATGGCAAGGCATCGAGCCTCAAAAGGTGAAACAATTGTTAACTTTGATGCCGATAGATGCTCGTGCAGTGCTTGCAAAGCCATGCCATGCTCCCCAACCAATGCAGTTCTGTGGGAAGCATTCCAAAATCTTCTATCGAGTTCACTTTCATTTTTTCTCTCCCATTCAAGTGAATGGCGAGAAGCGTGAAAGCATTATTCGATGCTGTAGTGTAGACGAGGCCCGTAAGGCAATGGCATTAAAGTGATAGTAGTCAGCCTACTTATATATAATAATAACTGTGTCACATAGGGTGGCATCCACGCCATCCCCAGCCATCGCAACCACATTCACATCTCAACATAATACAGCAGATCATACATATTACACCTACAGGGACATCATTTATTTTTATATGTTGCGTAGTACTGAGCCAATCACACATAATAAGATATAAATGGGTGTTCATCTGATAGTTACTGAGTCCTGCTGTATTGTGAGGATGTTGAAATGGCTGGGAATGCGGTGGGGATCCCCTATGGACACCAGTTTACTTAATTATTAGAGGCTGAGCATACTCAACTTTATGGCCATTGCCTTACGGCCCGTTCTACTACTACAGGCCATCGAATAATGCTTTTCAACGCTTCGCCCATTCACAATTGAATGGGGTGATGCCGTAGAAGATTTTGAATCTTCACAGAACTGCATTGTGGGGAGCATGCGCATGGCTTTGCAAGCATCACGGAGCAATCTATCGGCCATCAAAGTTGAAACAATGTCAACTTTCTGAGGCTCGATGCTTGGCCTCAGCCAATCAAAATACCCGTTTTATGCAAATCCCCCCGCCAGCTGCAAAGCGCTAGCCAACATCAGAATCCGCCGTGCATGCATTGGGAGAGCCGTTCATTATCTTTCCATTCCAAACGAGAGATTTCGATAGCAAATCACTCGGTTCATCTTTACGACCAGAACTATTTTACGGGGATACAAACGGATAGAACCAGGCCATGGAGGAAGGTGGCAGGAGACAGTGGGTGAGAACTGGTAGGTTTTTCGCCTGTTGGGGAAGTTTATATCCCAGTTTACTTCGTTTTAACAATTGCTATTGCTTGTAATGTCGGGGCGGGAGATTCATGTGATTGGTTGGTTATGGTCGCGTTGCTCGCAAAAATCGCCAGCTCAGACCGCCAGCTCAAGATTTTTTTGATGGCTGTAGTGTAGACGCGCCGTTAGCCACCAGATGTTCACCACAATTACTCCTAATCAATTTTACCTATTCGGATATAATTAAAAACTAATATAAAAAAAACTATTTGGTTGTGATTGCTTGCACTATTTCCAAGCAAGTAAGTGCACGTTTATTTTATCATGTGTACAAGCGTTACTGTTGGAAGGCGGATAAAGCAGCTTCTTCATGGCAAACTTGACAAACAGCTAAAGTGCTAGGCTACTACTTACAGCATCCAGGTGACTTTTCAGAGTTGTTGTGCCACCGTGGTAGGCCAGTTTCTTATTGCATATTTGGCACATATTCTTCTTACCGTCGTCCAATTTAAAATGGTCCCACACAGCTGAAGTCTTCGGCATTTTGTGGGTGAAGCGAGGTGAAGCGTGCCGTTTGCGTTCGTGACTGTGAGTGAACGCGATGTCAGGAGCACAGGCTGAGATTGTATATATTTCCGCATTTTAACAGTGCAATTCAAAAGTATAAATATAGTATAAGAATATGGCAATTCGCCTTTATTAATAGCATACATTTAGAAAAAAAAACAAAAAAAAACGAATATCCGAATAATGAAATTGAAACCCAAATAGTTGGCCAACGAACGAATATTCGGGTACAGCCCTAGTTGGCAGGCCGTTTGCCAGTGACGGTACATCCTCCTCCGCTGCTCCTGTTTGGAGCTCCAACACACACCGGCTCTCTGGGTCACCATGTTGTCTGATCACTGCCTCCAAACATTTATGTAAATGTGTTAACCTCTTACTCCGAATCATCTCCATTAGAGAGGATGTGTTACGCTCCCCCCCCCCTATTCATGCTGTTATTGTGATTTTACAAACCATGACAAAATCACCTCTCACCTTGGACTACTAGATGGGAACAACATGGACATGGGATTAAAGCCACATGTCTCTTTTTTTTTTTGGAGAGGATCACATCTCCTTTGTATTATTTCATTGATTTCCTTTACAGATAAAACATTACTGATGGGAATTGCAACTTTGAGTTTAAACAAGAGGCAGCAAGAGTTTTCCAGCAAAGCCTTGTGGTGATGTTTAATGAGGAACATTGCATGGCCGTGGCCCCACACTGACCCCTGTCCCTCTCTTTACAGAGAGGGGAGGAAGGGGAAAACACTGGGGGGACATTTCTGGGTGGGGGATGTGGTAAATAGAAGATGGCATGAAGGATCCCAGTGGAAGATGTAAACAAGTGTTTTAAAACTCATGATTATTACAACTCGTGAATAAGTGAGCTACTTTAAGGAGATCATTGTTACAAACATGCTTATTATGTTATATTATCAGCTGGAAAACGAACCCGCTACTGATGTAATGATACGGATACTGTAAGTATGCCTGTGTATGAATGTTACCCTTGGGACAGAAGTGGGAGTGCGCAGGGAAAGTAGAGAAAAGGGCATGGGATAGGATCTAACAGACTGAGGAGGGGGATGAGCTGGGCAGAGAGTGGACAAATAACAGGATGAGGATGTGGGAATCAGTCCACCGGTGATCAATGTTGTGTGACTGACTGTAAATGGGATTCAGGAGAGAGTTTGGGATCCTTAGTCCTTCCTGAGACTCAAACAGATACTTTTCCCTTCAAGCTGCCATCTTTTGTAATGCAGATAATAAAGTTATATTAAGTCCACAAGTTACGCCAATATTCCAGCTTTAGCACAATTAGGACAATGCTTTAGCCAAAGTAAAAAAATATTAAGAATCATTGTCTGAACTGTGATTTTTGTGTTGGAGCTTTCACAGTGTTTTGTCACACATTCAGCAATATAACTGTCATGCAAAATGTTCCCTTGCCAAAACCAATCACTCTACATATCTTCCAGTGTTTTGTCATAAAGCACTCTTTGTCTCCATTTGATTCTCCACCAACATCACTGCAGTCATCCCAGGCAATGTAAATGTATTCAGTGATTTGATTAAAACAATAATCTGCCCTATACCCTGCTTTATCAGGCCACAGGATATTTTATTAAACAAAACAATGGTTGGTTACTTTAAATAGTGGCGAGAGTAGATCAACTTACCAGCCGCAGTTCTTGTTTGACAGCGTGTCCCAACCCAAGCAATGTGAGATAAGGGTGAATTGTCCGAGGGTTTTGGCTCTGGTTGGTTACCTAGCATCCATCTTTTATCATGTTCTACCCTACATGTGCACATGAAAAGCCAGTGAAAGCAGGTCACAGTAACACGCTCAATTTGTCCTCCACTATTGGGTTTGCTGCATGGGCCTTAACCATGGTCAGAGGGACTGAACAACAAAGCACACGGCATCATGATTTTATCCCCATATTGTTCTCTGGCATGCACATTTAAATCACTAGAATGAATCTTTAGTTTTGGGCGGATGTAGCTTGGGCTATAGCCGTTGTTCGCCACTCGAGGGTCGGTGGTTCCGCCCTTTTAGTCAACATGTCGAAGTGTCCTTGGGCATGACACTGAACCCAACATTTCTCCCGATGGCATGGCCAACAGTGTGTGTGTGAGTGTTAATCACTCATGATGAGTATGTGGCAATGTGAATTGTTGCGTCTGCCTCTGTATGAATATGTGTGAACGGGTGAATGCTGAGTAGAAAAACGCTTTATAAATGCAGTCCATTTATGTATCTGTCCTCACGTATCACCCATTACTCTCTCCTCCTGTTTCCTCTGAGCCTACTTTTTCGTTTTCTCTACCCCCCTGTCTCCCTCGCTCTGCATGTTTTATTCTCAAGGTACAGGCCCAATCTCATTAGACATGATGGCTTAGAGAGAAAGGGAGGTATAAGGGCAGTTTAGCAGAGCCGTCCTTGGCATGGTAAGAAAGAGTGAATGAACAAGAGGGATAAAGTGTTGAGAAAACATGAATGAGAAGAGTTTGAATGAGATAGAAACCATTAGGTTAGAGCCAACATGAAATGCCAGCCAAATGCAGTTAATGTTGGACTGGCTGATGGGTTCGTCTACCCTTTCATATACTTTTGCAGACATACTGTGGACATTGTTCAAAGGTATACCATATATAGTGTTCTTGTGAACTGTGGGCTGTTGATAATTGGAATTATTGTATCCCAACTGTTTACTTCAAAGAGAGTCATTCTGACAGACATGCCTTTACTTTGAGAGGTTGGTTGGAATTAGTCAAATCAGCAGGCACAGAGAAAATAAACAGACGGTCGGGTTATCAATGACCCTCAGCAGCACAACATGACCTTGCATTGGATTTCTGTGAGGAAGAAAATATGTTTTTGATCTATTCCAAATCAGCACATGGGTTTATAGCTTCTTTTTTTTTTAGATACAATATTAACTTGTGGTTTTTCCGAGTATGAGTCAGGATGGAGCAATGGCTTGCATGACAGTAACAATGGCCTGGAAATAATAATAATAATACATTTGATTTGTAAAGCACCTTTCATTGCTAAAAGCAATCCCAAGGCGCTACAGGAGGCATACTAGAACAAACAAAAGAAACAAAAGTTTAATCAAAGGCTTTTTTTAAAAGAGAGGTTTTTAGGCCTTTCTTGAAGGCGTCAGTGGTCTGTGGAGTCCTCAGGTGGTCTGGGAAGGAATTCTACAGGTGAGGAGCAGCTGCACAGAAAGCCCGATCCCCCATTGTGCGGAGTTTGGTCCTCGGCGGGCGAAGCAGATGGTTTGTTGTGGAACGGAGGCTGCGTGTGGAGGTTTGTGATGTGAGTAGTTCTTTTGAGGTATGAAGGAGCGTTCCCGTGGATGCATTGATGGGTCAGTAGTGCGATCTTGTATTTGATCCTGAATGAGACAGGAAGCCAGTGGAGGGAAAATGTGTCTTCTACATTTTTGAAGATGTAGGCTGATTTACATTCTTTAAAAATAAGGTTCAACATGTAAAGTATGTGACTGTGCATTACACACTGTCCTCACTTAGTCAGAGTGGCATGAGACCTAGCAGAGAAATGAACTTTTGTTCTCTAAACACATGTGGTCACAGGTAAATACCAAACGGTTTCCCAGCCTCCAGATAAAACAAGTCATAGAAAAAGCATGATGGTTGGTTTTCTGCCAAACGATCTGTTAGAGCAGCCAGCTGAACAGACAAAGACCAGCGTGTGGTTGCATCACACCCTGCCCCAGACATCATTCTGACTGTCAGCTCAACAGTCCAGCGATTATGTGAAATGGGTTATCTTTTATACATTCTGCACTGTAGCTGTTATGTCTTGGTTGCCTTTCCATATCACGACACCTACCTAAACACTCAGTTAGTCATATGAAAGATCAGTAACTCCAGTAACAACTACTGTTGGACCCCAGGACCTTACTGCTAAATAACAAATCTTCTAAGATAACGATCCATTGGGGGGCTTTTTAATACTGCGTACTGAATAGTGGGTTTCAACAGTGTCCTAAACAGCCACAGTCATGGTCACTATAGAAACCACTGGCCTTGAAACTGCTCTCGCTGTTGTAGGTGACGGGCAGCGGCCTCGTATAATCATTCAGATATTCAGATAAAGAAAGTCGGAGGTCAGTATTAGTACACAGCCCCCCTCTCTTAAACAAGTATCATTATCAGTATATTTGTATAGCCTTCATATGACACACATTATCTATTCATAGTTGTACATTGAATAAACACCTTACTTCCTAGCATGCTTTACTTAAACCATTATTAACCTGTTAAGCTGGCTTTTTTTTCACGAAACTGTGTCTCAGGGCTTCTTAAAATGTAATAAACTATGAATGTGTCATACTCACTTAAAGAGCAACTTCCAGGTTAAAGAAACCTGTGAATAAATGTGTAGGAAAATGATGAATACACTAGATTTTCAAAAGAATATACAGAAATATACACTACAGTGACATCGCGTCGTTTTTGTAAGAAAATGTTCACCTGACGTAACACGGGGGACACAAGGGGGAGAGTGGCCGGTGTAACGTATTAATAAACATGGATCCCAATGCTAGTTTCGACACAGAAGACACAGAAGAAGTTGAACATGAATATTCGAATGCATATGACGGACCACAACCTTATAATTATGAGCCTGCTAGGCGTCCAAGAGACCAGGAGCAGCCAAGGATTAGAAGAAATAACGGCCATCGGAGAGAAATTGAGCTGTGGTGTGAGGAGAACCAGCTATCTTGGTGAGTGGCCGGCGTTAGCTACAGAATGTTAGCTAACGACACATCTCAACATTGTAAAGTTAGCTATCATATATCAGGCTATAACTAAAGTAGCATTGATAATATAATAACGTTACTGGCAGGACTGTTGATACTGATCCATAACAGAAACTAATGCGCAAGTATCAGCCGTATCTCGCGTTACCTAATGCAATGCATGCTGTGTACCGGAGGAGAGACGCGAGATACGGCTGATACTTGACGATCTGGCGGAGAAAGGTTGTGGAGCCTCCGTTGATATGCCGTTGTAAATGGCTTGATGGAAAGCAGGTGTGTAGTCGGGGAGGGTGCACAGCTGATTGCAGCAGGTGTGTGGAGGTTGAGCCAGGAGCCAGGAGTGACAGCCACCACGCACACACAAACAACACAGACAGGGGGAAACAAACAAACACAAAGAGACGGGCTGGAAGCATACAGCCACCACAACCCCCCTTTACCTAATGCAACTCACACTAACGATGTCTACGGTGCCGTGTACCGAGGGGAAGAGAGGAGGAGCGCGCCGAAGGGGGGACGGGGGGGGGAGAGAGAGAAGAAAGTAATAACGGTTGTATGATAAAGCGTGGAGAGTAATGGTGCTGCAGGGAGGTGGATGCCAAAACGCACCCAGGAACGACCGCTGCTCCGGTCCTTTTACGTGGACTCGATGTCCTGACAGGCTGGTATTTGTGCAACCTGCCACAAACACATACTGCCATGATTACAAATGGTGAAATACAATGTAACACTACCGAAAAGCCAGCTCCTAAAAACACAACCGCCTCAACTCAACTACTAACTATCACCCGCGGTCAGAGAGCGGAGATGTGTCCCCTGTGTGATGAAAATATCGATCGCGTGGTTGACGTATGACTTAGAAAAAAAAGCCTTTAAGAGGCCAGAAGCTCAAAATGCTCGCTTTCACCGTCTGAAATTCCTGTTGCCTCTATGTCGTCGTAGAAACATATCAAATCACTGCATTCCACTTTTTTAGTGTACCAACTTCTTCAGGCAAGTTTAAGGCCTACCGCCATCAGCCCCAAACAATAAAGCAACTGCAAGCATCTGCTCCAACCCGCGGCAAAGAAACCTAAGCTAACACCTGAGCCGTCAGCTGAACATTTGTTTACCGACAACAAACAAAACCAACCGTCTCACCACGAAGCTGCTACAATGACCGGCTCTCCGAAGCCGCAAAAAAATTGCCTAGATCTCACCTTAGCACCAGAACCTCTAGGTATCAACCGCCAACTCGGATCAGACCCTAAACCGCTTACTCGGATCTGCACAAAACAAGCTTGCTAGCAAGGCTGAGATTGCCACAGATATCCGACGACAAATACGACTAGTATCTCCCCATCACTCCCCGCGAGCCGATCGACCTCGCGAACCCGCGGGGACGCAACGCGCAAAAACGCAGGACACCAGCACCACTTACGCGTCAGCTGTTCATGTAGGCCAAAAAACCTGAAGATACCACCGTCTGCTCCACTTTTTCTGCTGTTATTCACTGATCACAAAGTTGTGTTCAATGGCATAAAACGAGAAAACGCGGCTGAAGGATTTTTTTAATCAATAGTTAATCAATGTGCTGTCACTTGAAAAAATTATTGAGTAATCCATCAAGCCCCAAAAAAAACCCATTTTTAAGTCAAAAAAAACTGACGTTTCATATTGCTGCTAATATAAGGCTTCCAGAGTGGTATGACACAGCTTTCCTGTTTTCGCTTTCTGGCTACTCGTCCACTCTCACCTCCTCTACCTTCGGTACCGTGTAAGGATCGTCACCAATACCGCAACAACTGCGGTACGATAATATTCGCTGATAAAAACGCCCCACCGTGCACGAGATTTTACCTCGCGATATTCAAAAATAAAGAAAAAAAGCGCCCTTTTTTTTTTTTTTATTTATTAAATAATAAGAAATTCGCCTGATTGTTGACAGCATTTAGTAGATAGTAGTATTTTTAAAGTGTCAACAATATAATAATCAGAACCGCCATGAGAATAACCACCAGACTCTCCACTTTAGTCTTTTCAGGCAACTCTAATCCTCAACTCAGCATCATCAAGGCTATCTTTTAGGAATGATGGCATGTGCCACATCTCCGGTAGAAGGGATTTTGGGCGTTTACAAATGCCCCTGCTCGTGGAAAAACACTCTCTCGCGTTGTACGCATGTCTGCCCGGCGAGGTACTGCCTTTGGCCATCGGTGAACAAGGGCAGTGGTAATAACTGTTCATTTGTCTCTTGCACCACTTCAAAAACAAGTTTTTGCCAAGAAAAGGTGCGGCCATACAGGGCGAGATACCAAATATAGCTGCGTGGTAACCACCGCACCCGGGCTCGACATTAAGGATGCCGGGGCGCATCTAGTATTTAGCTCCGGGGCATGAGCCTCCCACCTGCTGGGCCCGATCCGGCCAATCTATATAAACCAGTATCTCAGCAGCCTCAGCGATCCAGTAATCGAGTGACGCCCGACCCAAGTAAAACTAAAGCATATCTACAACCATAACTCAGTTTACCGTATTTGAAGGGCTAATACCAAATAGCTAACCTGTCCCCAGAGCTCAATTCGCCTAACCCTGAACAGTGTGCCGTGTTTGTTCCGCTCACCAGCGTGCATGTGTTTCAATGCGAGCTGCGTGTCGACCTCTCAGCAGCAGCTGACTCCTCTCTCCTCACCGTCAGATCTAAGATTATCACATCGCGTTATGTCCATATCGATAAGATACCAGGGCTAGTCTTTAGCTAATGATATGACTATACCGTGCCATTAAAAGACACCGTGCCCGTAAAACTGCAAGTGTCGCTAGGCCCTGGGTGGCCACCAGTATAAGCGCAGCATTATGCAAGCTTTGTTGCATGCCCCCCCGAACCCCGAGGGCATTAGCAACAGATCCAACGCACCCAATCAACCCATACAGCACATCACTTCTCCACATTAAGTGTCCTAGCACCATTAAGAATTCGACTGCGCACCCTCGCGTCGTCACACCTACGCTCTCTTGTCTGCTCACCATAAGTGGCGCAACGAAGCGGTATTCCGCCGGCGCTAAGGGTGCGGATTATTTTGCCGGCACATTTGTGACCAAGAGATTTAGCGATTATGCTTGCTAAGAGGGAACTCCTGACGTTGCCATTGTGTGTGCTTCGGGCGGATGCACCGGTCCTGCTCGGTCTCGCCCGGTTCAGGCTTCCGGATGAGGAGGGCATTCCTCCTCTATCCCCTGCTGTGGAAAAAACTCTCTCGCTTGGTACTGATGTTGCTGGGACAGAGAGATATGCTTTGGCCATGGGTGACAGCAGTGGGTAAAACTGTGCATTGTCTCTGCACCACTTAAATAATGTTTGTTTTGGCAGTTACAACTGCATGTAATGTTTTCTACTTTTTTACATCTGGGAAGGCATTTGCCTTCATCAGATGGAAAGTGTCTTGACCAACAACTTAAGTATTTCTTATAGCTATGCAGGACATGCAAGAGAGCAAACACAAACAAGTACTAACAAACAAGTGAAATGAAGAATAACATTGAAATTGTACAATATAATATTGTGGTGGTTCATCTTATAATCCAGTCTAGAGAATGCACCAGACAGCATCTAAGGCCTGCAAAAATCTAAATGTTCTAGGGGGAGGCCCCCCAAACCCTTCGTGTGTCATTTCGTCCGCGCGCATCTTTCAGGGCAATCTCTATTGGGCTCAGGGCCATCTGCAAATTAGCTTAGATGGCCCACAGGGCCATCTCCCAAAATCCTTAATGTCATGCACTGTGGTAGTTGTCAATGTCTCCAGGTATGTACATGTAGCCCTGTAAATACGATGTCCTTTTGTGTTATCTGTTGTTTTATGTTCATGTTGTAACCTACTTGCTGCCATGTTGGACAGGTCTCCCTTGAAAAAGAGATCGATGATCTCAATGGGACCATCTGGTTAAATAAAGTTTTTTTTTTAAATCGCGGTAGATTTTGTCAGTCTCACGACGGTATTGAGACATTTATTTACCGCGATATTCGACATATCGTTATATCCCTAGTAACGTGTGTGTGTATGTGGAACTTTCCCTCGATCCCATTGGCTCTAACGGTTAGAAAGAGATGTCAATAATCAAAATCGACCAAGGGTGGTCTACTATCCCATCATTCAATGGTGGTTTTCACTATAAGTAATGTTTTTCTTTTGGACGGACACAATCATTTACATTTTTTACTATGTTCAATCTGAATTTACTTTAAAATAAAACAAATCTATATTGATTCTGACTTTTCTATATCCAACTCACAGGTTTATCATTGCTTTGAGAAAAAAGATGATTAATTTACCCCTTTTAGAAGTGAAATTATGGTCATTTGTTCAGGGAATGTCATTTTCGAGTCTGAGACCTGGAAAACAGGCTCAGGGCTTAACAGGTTAAGATGGTGGCATATATAGTCCGATTGAATGAAGAATGCATTCTTAGTTTAAATGGCTCAGCAAGCAGTACCCATTGGCTCCCAATGAAATGGTATCTCATTTAATGACCCATCTCTAAACACAGGCTTGAGAATGTGGAGGTTTGAGTTCTTTTGTGACTCTAAATGGTCACGTAACGACAGACCAGATTGGGCCTGTTTATGTTACACCCCAGTGGTTTGATGACATGTTGCACTCTCCTACCCGCAGGCCGGCCACTAAGGTTTTCCGTCAGTTAGATGTTTTACCACCACATAGGACTTCTGGATGGGGGGCAGATATTGTCCCATGCTTGTGTTTTAATGTCTTAAAGATTGTGGCTTGTGCAGATTTGAATGCTTTCACCCTGGGAACCAAATTGAGCATCATCCTGTGGATATGAAAATATATTACTGTGCTTGTCATGTGGAGATTTCACACTTAAGACCAGATGTTGGTGCATTCAAATATTAATGTCTTTCAGCTTGCCTCTGCCACACACAGGATTAGCCACCTCCCAGGCTACTGAGATAACACTGGTCCATGAAATGTCCCCAGGGTTTCATCTCTGCA